GAGACCCCGTGGGTGGGCTGACCTTGATGTATTTGCAGCCTCCAAGAGACGAGAGCCTGAACAGCCTTCTTCAGGAATACCAGATCTACTACTGGGAGCTGGAGTCAGAGGTATGCTCAGCCACCATGTCCAAGATGCTCAAAACCCCTCCGGCTTTACGGGCTGAGCTCCCAGGTGAGACACTTCCCTGTCTTGACACAGGCACCGCCCTGAGCACCCAGGAGAGGAACTGCTGTGCATGTTCTCTCTGTGCAAGGCATTGTGGGAGATGCCCTGGAGGGCCAGAGGAGATGGGGCTCACCTCCAGGGGGCACAGCCACTGGGGTGGACAGGTCTCTGTGGCAGCCCAGGTGTGCACGGAGAGGGGTGGCCCATGGAGAGCTCCTGGGCTTTGGGGACTTGCACCCAGTGTGGCGATCAGGGGAGGCTTCACGGAGGAGGAGCCATTTGAGATAGGTTGTCAAGGGAAAAGGGATTTCACTGAGGACACCAGGGAAGGTACACCAGAGAGTTAGTCAGCAAGAGGCTTCCATCTGACCTTGGAAATCTTTCCTGCCCTTCAAGTCAGTGAATAGAGACAGCAGTAGTTCAGGGGAAGCAGGTGAGTGCTCTTGTGGTTGCTCTTGTGTTTTGGAAGTGGGCCTTTAGACAACATTCATTGACCTGGACAGTATTCATTGACTAACCAGGACCTGGAGAACACTCTACCTATCCACACCATCTGGTCTTTAGAATAGAGGCATCTCAGTGAGCCAAAGGATAGCAGCAAGCTGAGTACCCATTACAGCACTTACTCCATCCAGTGTAGTAGCAAGCAATTAGAGAAAGGAGCAGCAATTTCCTTGGCGATATCAGATACTGATTGTTCTCACTTAGCACAGGACCAGAATGGAAGCATGCCACCAGCCATTAGGTGGTGACTTTGTGAGTGACAGCTACATATCCCATGAATGTGAACCAAGATCTAGTTGGAAATACTGCAAGGTTATGAGAATGGCTACTAGGAGGGCCAAAGTTCCCCATTCCAATGAGAATGAAATAAGTCTGGGAAGATGTTTAATTTTGTTTCCCTTTGTTACAGAAATGTGGCCCTGCCTACTGACAAACATCCTATG